AATTCTCTAGTCACTCATCATGCTAGCATGCTGACAACCAGTCACCCAGGAAAGCATCCAGAATACGGAGAATGAAAAGGGAAGGGGAGACAGAAAGAGAGTTATTTGTTGATATTGGTATTTTTTTTTGGATGCAGTCACTTCTGGCCCTTACAGTATGTGTCTGTGCATTCTAGGGAAGGTGATATCACAACCCCCTGGTCTATACTAGGGAATAAGTTTGAATTAAGATACACAACTTTAGCTACATTAATTGTGTATCTTAAGTTGAAGTATCTTCACTTGAATTTTGGCACTGTCTACACTGCAGGAAGTCAAAGGGAGCACACTCTTCTTTTGACTTCCCTTATTCCTCACAGAAGCAGGACTACCAGCATCGACAGGAGCGCCTTCTCAGTTTGAATTGGTGTGTCTTCACTAGACCTACTATTTCAAACCCCAGAAGATTAACTGTGGCTGCTTTGATCTTTTCTGTAGTGTAGACATGGCCCAAGGAAATTGTCTTGGTTGCTAATTGATCGGAACACCAGCGTTAAATAATTGGGAGTTGTCTTCACTACAAACTGAGTTTTGACACTAATTCAGACTCATTCTTCCACATTATCTTCCCCTGAGAAATGGGAGTGGGTGTGATTCTGTTTCTTCTTAAGGGTCACCATCTCCTTTCACTTCCAGGGAAGACCAAGTTGAGAATCTGATCATATTTTTTGAGCCAAGATTTGTAATGGATCGGGGGAGGGGGCAGAGAAGAGCGAAGGCACTGGCTTACACTGCCTATGCTATACTTTCAACACACACAACATGATTATGTTGACAACACTGTATCAGCAACTTGATGTCTGTTGGGTGAACTTTGTAGCCTTCCTTTTTCGTTGTAAAGTTGACCAGAATTTAGCAATCAAATCCATCATTTAAAACAATATTTCTGGCGAAGACAGCCCCCTGAACTTTATTTAATGCAGAATCAGACTTGAAATCCAGTATTTCATAAGTGTGGAACTTCTAATCCTTAATCAGTTGTTTCAGCTCAGGTCAGCTCATGATCAAGGAGTGTGGGTTATTTCTCAGGAGACACTCCCATCCCTTTCCTGGTTGCATATGAATTGCTTCCTGTCTGTTTTGCAACAAACAAGCACCATCCAGACAATTCTTGCACGTCCATGGGAAAAAGACTATCAGACCACTCCAAGCAGGAAAATGATTTTAAAATGCCTCCAGTTGCCTTTTCACTTCTTTTTATTTAACTCCATAAATATTTTCATAAGGCTCAGTGTCTTTACAACACTTTTTTCAACACTTTTTTGTTTTCTTTTATACACACAACTTAGACACTTGTTTGACAGTGTCAAACAGTCCAATATAAACAAAATAATAAAACTGGCAAGTGTGGATCAGCTGGGTTACCAAAATCCATTTCCCCCCCCATACTGTTAAAACCCCCAAAGCACGAAAATATCAGATTTTGGCTTCAAACTTGTATTTTAAAAACCTTGATTGTTCTTTTTCCTTTGCTGTAAGTCCCCATCACCATAGTGCCTTAAAATGCCTATGGTCTCTTGATCTTCTCAAGGAAAAATAAGCTTGGTGATGCCATGCAGAACTTACAAAAGCTACTAAATATACATGTTCCCTGAAATGTAGCTGCAATGAAAAGATGACAAAGCATAAAGAGAACAAAACCAGAAACCCAAAGCACCACAGTGTACTATCAATAACGTTGCAATGGATGGCTAGTGCCCATCCAAGAACTGAAACAGATTTCAAATATATTTTTCTATGTATTATTTTCTATTTACAACTGTTAGATGCACCTAGGTTGGTTCTTGTTTTATCTTTTGGAGAGGGTGGGGAGGCAAAAGTCTTGAACTTACATCCTCTGTTAGGTCAAGGGGTAATGCGTATCATTTACCTATGAAAGAGGGTTTTAAAAAATATTATATATATATATATATATATAGTTTCAACTGCAGAAATTCCATGTACATATAAGCCTGTTACAACTCACTTCTTTCTATTGCCCATGGAATGGTATGTAGGTTCCTCTTGTCTGGCATTGAAATGAAAGTCTCTATAATAGGTTAAGTCAAAAATTATCCCCAATTTGATCCATGCTAATCTATTTCTGAAGCTTTCAAGTATACAAAACCACTCCGCCCAGCCCTCTATCCCATATTTAATAATAGGTAGTAAAAGTGGGACCCATTCGTGGTTCTTCTTTGTATTAATGCTTCATTTCTTGCAGCACCTTGGCAACTTATGGATAGAAAGAGCTTTCTTGAATGCCATGATTGAGGGCCAAACCCGCTTTGCTCTGGAGCAAAGGTCTACACCTGCTTTACCTGCTGCCTGGCTTTGGCTCAGATAGTTTAAAGTTAATGAGCTATTTTGTTTTGGCTTTCCGTGTAAAGAAGAAGTGGTGAGTTCAACCAGTAGCTTTGTCAGAGCAAGCAAATCTTGATTTATGATGCAAATAATGGTGCGGTCGTGTTGTTTCTTTTTTCTAGTGCTGACTATTAAGGAAGCATCTTTTCATGAAAATAAAGGATGTTTCATTCTCACTCTCTGAGGCACAAAACAGTAAATGAGCAAGCTTAACTAATGTGCTTGGTACTTTTCTCCCCAAAGCAATTAAAAAGGCAAAGGTATAGGTGAAATTTTCATCATCTTGACAAGGAGGGTCAAATCTTTCTCTCTGTGTGTGTCTCTCTCCAGATATTCAGAAACCGTAAGACCTTTTGTTTAATCAATTACGTTACAACTTTTGAGGAATAATATTCACTTCTCTAAACACCCATCCTATTAAACAAACAAAATAATAACTGCCATATATTCTATATTAAAATTTGAGCTGTTAACCATAAAAATGCAAAGATACAAAAGAGTATTTAAAAAAATGTTTTTGGTACAAAATTGTGTTGCCTCCTGATCGGCCTTTTTTTTTTTTTTTTTTTTTTTGCCTACTCTGTATCATTTACATATGGGGAGGTGAGCTTTCCTCTCTTTAAAATATTAGTCTTCCTGTGCTGCTTTTTTATATTTTCTCAAGTAGCAAAGAAAGTGCTAAGATTATCTTTGTGCTTTAGATGGGAAATATAGTCACTCCCTTATAACATGGCATGGTCTCTTTTATCATAGTACTTGCTCTAGCCCTGCAAGAGAATAAGCTTCATGGAAATACTGAAATCACATTAAAGGGTGGTCTTTTCAGGTGACAAATTAAATTTGTGCTCCTTCCCTCTACTCCATCCAGCCATGCATTTGTCCCCACTAGTAGCTAATCTGATTTGCTTGGATGGCAGATAAGATACAAAAGAAAAACATCGTTATACATTTAGGTTGGGATCATTTCACTGCATATTTTCAAAAGAGTCTACAAAACAGCACCTGCAAAATTTTCACCAACGCCTTTTTATGTGAGCAAAATGTCCCCATTTGTCCAAGCAAAGAGGCAAGTATGTGAGCAAAGATCTCATCTGTGAGCTGAATTAATGGCTTCTATACGTGCAAACTAAGGTGCTGCAGGGTTAAAATTTGAGGGTGGAATTGTAGGAGGTTTTACTGAAACTGCTGCTCTGAATATACAGAGTGAGAAAAAGAGAGAGAAACAGACACATAGAGGTTAACTAATTACTATGGAGCCCACTGACAATGGCACAAGTTTACTGAACCATTGCTACAGTTTAGTTTAGTTTGATTGCTGATCTAGATTTGGTTATGTAATCCTGGTCACATGGCAAGATTTCTTAGGTCTCACTGATTTCAGTGCAATCTTTTCGAAAAGGCAGTTTTCAATCTCTTCCCTCAGGTTGGAGGCATTAAATATCAGGTAAAAGTTTTTGATAACTTAAGCAACTAATAGATCCTTAACCTAATAGGTCATCATTGTCAGCTACTGTCCTTTTTGGTAGTTCGGGGCTCAAGGCAAAGCAAGAGAAACAGTTTAGAAAGTGAGAACAGTAAATGGCTGCTACATCTAGGATAATTTCTTCTGTAAACTGTAATCAATGGTTCATAACAGTGATGCTATGCATGTGTGTGTGTGGCAGAGAGGATGGGTCCTCTGAGTTAATTACTGCAGAAAAAATCCTGGCTGTTTTGTTTGTGTTCAATAACTCATTTTCCTTTACCTAGAATGCAGAACATGAGGCTATTAGCCAATTTTTAAGCAAGTATCTGTCATCTTTATGGAAAAAAGATAGTATCGAACATCTTACAGGGTAAATTCTTTGCTAAAAAAATCTCAGGAGAAAAGAAAAGAAAAATATAAAACAAAAAAAGCCACCGTTGTTCTTTCTTCTTATTGGGACTGGCGTGTGTGATTGAAACACACAGCAGAAACATATTTTAAAAATGCAACCAATCATCTGAACAGAAGTAATCTCTCATGTAATAAAGATCTGATTCCCCTTTTGTATGCTTATACCCCCATCCCTTGCCCAAGAACACCTATAAAAACAGTTAAAGCAATAGAAGTACTGAGCAGCATATCACAGTGCACAACAGAGCACACCCAGACTGGAACGATTCAAAACAGAGAAATGCTGGGCAAAAATGCTGTCCATTTAAACAATAAGTCTGGGGACAGTCATAGTGTGGGGGGAGCAAAGAGGGAAGGGAGGAGAAATCTTCCCCACATCTAAAATAGAAAAATAAAAGACATAAATAAAATCAAATAAAATATACACCAATGTGGCCTGCAAGGAACTTCAGTGATTGACTCACAATGAGCAAGAAATCGTCCTGGAGAAAAAAAAAAAAAAAAAAAATACATTTGACCAATTAAATAAAATAAAATCAGACACATGAGTAGAAGTCATTGGTGCTTCCTAGTAGCTAATAGAAAATTGCTTCCCAAAAAACAACAAAAAAAGTTTTTGGTCCTTCTATATATATATATATATATACACACACACATATGTATATATATATATATATATATACACACACATATGTATATATATATATATACACACACATATGTATATATATATGTATGTGTGTGTGTGTGTATATAATTATTTTTAATTGCAACAGTGCTTCTCCGAAAAAAGGTCCATCTATAAATATAATTTTATTTATTTATTTTTATTTTTATTTTTTTAAAGTTTTATTTTAAAATTCTCCATCTCACTCTAGGTACTATTTTTTGAATGGCGTTAACCTGCTGAAATTTTGCCAGAATGGTGACTGGCTGCGTTTGGGTTCGGTGAACTCGAAGACCTGGGACTGGGATATGCCATCTGTCACCATGTATTGTCCCTGATTTAATGGATCCTGGGGTGGTGGGTAGGCTGGAGGAACCGACCTGGAGTAGCTGACACCTGCATTGATGGTGGGGAAGGGAAAAAGAAAGAGGCACGTCAGAGTTCAGTTGGGTCAAAACACTTACTCAGAATATTACTTGTTATATTTTTAAAAACCAAGGCCCCAAACAATGGGGACATGAACAGCAGAAGGAAATTCTAAGGATGAAATTAGCAACTAACTTAAACCCTCACTCCAAATGCAACCTAAATTAGCAAGCTAGTTGGATATTTGAGCAAGAAATGTGAGCAATGACTTTTGTTTTGGTGGAGTTTTGCTGTTCTCTTATGGAAAAGTCCTATGTAATTTATAAGGTTATCTAGAAATTACTTTATTATTGAAAAAGCAAAGTCTTGGCTATAGAATTGTTACATTGTTGAGAACTGTACCTCTTCTATAGAATTCTATTTGTTGGTTTCAAAAGACAGGTCATTGCGTTCTCTACTAAGTCCTGTAGGATTTTTCCATAAAGGCATGTTTTAAATTCATCAGCCTTGTTTCAACTTCCAAACCAGAAAGTACTGGTAATCTCACAAGAGATACTCCCTGCTACATTCCCAGCCCTGTTTCAAAGGCGAGGTATTCCAAAGAAAGGATGGTCTTGTGGCTGAGGTAAAAGACAGTGAGTCTGGAGTCCTGGTCTCTATTAATGACTCTGTCACATAATTTCTATATGACCTCGAGTAAATTACAACCTCTCTGGGCCAGAGAATGCCTCCTCAGATGCAGAAGGGGTGAGGATCCACTGTCTTAAAGACACAGAACCCTGGAGAGGATGCTCTCCAGAGCTGAGAGATCAACATGACAATTGTTGGGGAGGTAGAGTATGGGTGGCTTTGAACTGATGATGGTGGGGCAGAGGGGACAACCATCACCAACCCTGTGGAGATTACTAAGGAAAGGTAATATGGCCACAGGCTCTATTTGTTTTCTTGCTGAGACTGTTCACGAAGGGTAATTCTCTTCTTAAGCAGGGTCCTTGTGCAGTGTGATAAGATGCAAGCTGCACGGCCAGGAAGCAGGGGAGAACAGATGGAACTTCAGAGTTCTGAAGCAAGTGCAGAGAGTTCTGGCCTTCTATGAATCACCTCTGTTGACAGCAGAACCTGCTACTCATTCTGTGGGCTGGGCAGCTTCCTGACAGAACAACGTGGAGCAACCTCCACAGTAACATCATGGAGATGTCCTGCTCCCCTGGGTTTTACTGCAGGAGGTGGTGGGCCAGTATATGGTGATCCATTTCCCCTTCTGAAAAGTGGAGACAGCAATATCCACCTACCTCACAGTAGGGTTATTAAGCTAAATTATGTAATGTTTGTAAAACACATTGAGATCTGGAGGTAGGAGGTGCTAGAGAAGGCAAAATATCACAATAAGCACCTAGATACCACAGTGATTGGCCTGAGAGAGATTCTTTGCACCTGGTCAGCAATCCTTGGCCAGCACACAAGCACACACGTTCATGTGCCAGTGCTCTGAGATACTGGGATGGGAGTAGGGATGTGAAAGATTAATTGGTTAACCATTAAGAGTGATGCTTAGTGGTTCTGGTTAACCGTTAACTGGTGGGGCTGGAGTAGTTCCCCACCTGCCACAGGTAGGTAGCTGCTCCAGCCCTGCTACGGACAGGGGCTGTTCCAGTCATCCAGAGTCTGGGTGCCCCAGAGGTAGGGACTGCTCTGGCCAGTCTGGAGCAGCTCCTGCCTATGGTGGGGAGGGGCGGGAGAGAAGGGGAGGGTGGCATTCCAGCTCTGTCTTGGCAGGCAGAGAGATAACTCCAGCCTAGTGGGGCTAGAGTGGCCTGGCCCCACTGTCTGCACCCCCATTAATCAGTTAACCGGTTAAATATAATGTTTAATTGGTTAACCAATTAAAAGGGATTTTGCATCCCTAGATGGGAGGTGCAATATATGTTCAATGCAATTACGGGCAACCTATTAAACTTTCACAAAATGCATTGCATTGTTATGTGAAGCTAAGCTACCAACCATTTAATGCTGGTGCATCATTATATGGGTCCTTTTATTATAACAAACCAACGTCTAGAGAGGAAAGAGAAGTAATTTACTCCTTTTTGTGGCAGTAAATACCAATCAAGGCCAGTTAAAAAGCAACAAGATTTCAGACTGAGTGGAAACATTTCCTGGGTTACTTCTAATTGTGCTTTGAGACAAGATATATAGAAATGGGATTGATTTATACAAAGAAATTAAACAACCATTTGTTTTATCTAACAATAAATGCTACCCACCCACATTGCTCTCCATCCAATCCAGAAAGTAAAGTCAACCTTTTTCATTTTTATTATGGACAAAAGTTGCTGAATGATTCATGACACAGTGATCCTAAACAACTTCATCACAATTATGTGTTCCGAGCCAACCTGAAAACAACAATCGGTGTGGCCACACACTTCTTTGGTAGGCTCTCGGATGTTTGATCAGATTCACTAATCCCATGTACTACCATCCTTATTTTTCCTACCTCACAAAATGAGAATCTTATGTAAGTTGTTTGCACAGCAGAATGCCAATTTCATGGGGTGCTCGATGCCCCATCATTAGAAACAGGTGGCCAGAGCCAAATTTTAAATGGTTTGGCTGGCTCTAGGATATCATAAGATATGCAAGATTTCTCCATCCTCCAATTAGACTGCTCAGGCATTTAGTTCTAGACTCAAGCTGAGCATCTGAAGATACCTATGGCATGGGGAAATTGGAAAGCCCAACCTGGTATACAACCAGTACTACTAGCAAATCCCTGGTGGTTCACTTCACAAAAAAACAGAAAATGGAATGTGGTCAAATCATTCTGTAGTCCAGGTATCCATGGCCACCCCAGCTTACCTAACTTAGAAAAGCTCTAAGGCTGATCCAAGTTATATACAAGGAGGGGGCAAACTGGCTCCAGCTACCCCGGAGACCAGATAAAAACAAAGACGATTCAATTGTCAAAATTGTATGTCTAACTTGTGCATGTAAATACGACAACTACATACATGGAGGCATGTGTCATTTTGCCCATGCATTTGTGTGCAAGCAAATATGAGAATCCATGCTCTGCAGAGTAAATTTGGCAATCCTATGAGAGTAGCTTTTCTCATGAGGTTTTAAACATGTCACCTCCTATAGCAGATAAAAATGCCGCGTAAATTTGGCAATCCTATGAGAGTAGCTTTTCTTATGAGGTTTTAAACATGTCACCTCTTATAGCAGATAAAAATGCCATAAGAATGGCCTTTCTTGGGGACTTGTGTATTTCTGATCATTTTGAAGCACTGTATGTGGGAGAAAAATCCCACTTACTTGAACATCTTCAGAACAAGACTAGATCCCAGAATGAATAAGGGGTTAATATATTTGTATCTGAACTGAGCTGGTTTCCTCCCTCATCAGAGCTTCAAGTAGCTGTGCTAAATTGTCCCTTTAAGGACTTTTTTTATATGCAAAGCCATAATGCTGTTTCAATTTACCCGGAAAAAATGAGCAAAGCTCCTTTCCAATGTAAAATGCTGCAATCTCAGGCTGCCTCTGTGAACAGAATTCAAAATGCAAGGGGAAGAATCAATAGATAAAGAAAGATTTCCAGGCATGGCAGTCAGACTGCTTTTCCAGAGGCAGAAAGAAGCAGTTACACATGCCTTGGAAAGACTCGAGCTCCTTCTGCTGGTTCATACAGAACTCTGCACCATGGTAGAATTCAATTGTTGCAGTGGCATAGTAAGGTTGTTCAGGATAGCTGGGATTGAAGGTATGCTGGCCTTAAGGTAGCTTTGCAGTTCATCATTTGTCAGGACAAATGATACAAAGAGAGATGATGTATTGTCAGCTGCAATTGAGCAGAATTTTAGTGCTACATAATGCCAATTAGAAACATTTAAGTTTCTCATCTGAAAAAAGATCATCAGCTCTTGAAACCAAAAGCACTGAAAGGATTTAAAGCTATCTCTATTTTACTCCTAACTGAGTTTCAAAATGCCTTTTGCACTTGTGCTCACAGAAGGAATTCCCTGGCATGGAAAGAATTAGAAGAATGAAGTCAAATATAAGATTTTTTTTCTCTGCTTGTTTGATCCTGAGACCCTTTTAAGATTTTGTTCATGCCTTGATCAGAAACTATTTCATGTCCATTCCCTCTACATAGCCATCTAAACACCCTGCCTATATCTAAGAGATGGGTGATAAAATATAAATGCTTTATAGATCAGTGGAGGTTAAGTTTAGTGCCATACACTGGAGAATAGAGAGCGTGCTATGGGACAAAACCCTCAATTTTTCTGAGTCTCAATGGCAGTAGAGGGAATTCACAACTTCTTGGAGGCACTCAACATCATAACAAGTTCAGTTGCCTTATGAGTGATGTATGTCCCTTCAACAGGAAACAGTGCCAAAGTATGAATCATGAGATGAGGAAATACTCCTTGCACTGTCCGTTTTATTGACCTGAAAAGATCACTTTGCCCATCATTTCCCTGAAATACAGCCACTTGTGGGGTGCACACAGCAAATCTACATAATAGCTTAGAACTAGATATGAAGAAAAAATACCATATCCAACTGAAACTACAGGGAGAATGGAGGTGGTTAGAATCAGTCCTCTGGGAGTCCAGGTAAATTGTGGGTAACACTGTCACTCTTCAGGTAGTCCCTTGGGGCCTTTAATGAAGATCAAAGGTCAGCTCCACATCTCACCCCACAGATGGCACTCGCAGCACTCTGCGAGAGAGTTGGCTCAGAAATGACTCAGAAGCTAGAGTAAGAATAACCCTACTTCATTACCCATGTCATTTCCTTTTACACTTGGGTATTCCTTGGAGGTTTCCTATCTACTCTGTCCCTGCTTAGCTTTGGAAATCCTAAATATACCTCAGATCAGGGCCACTGATTATATCTGGATTAGTAATTCTTCCGATGAAGAACCAATTCCACCTGTATTATGAAAATCCTAATCAGCACTGATACTTTCAAATTGATAACCCTGAAAAATGCCATGGCTAGTTCCATAGGGTCATTGTATA